ACTGTCGGAAATGCTGTCTGACAGTATTCTGGCACCGATTATCAAGATAAATAGAGCTGATCTGATACCACCTGTTGTCCGATCACTAGTCTATCCGACCCCAGAGAGGAAAGTGGCAAATGAACGGACTTGCGGACGTCAAAGAAGCCCCCGAAAATTTCGAAAGTAGACTGCCCGAAATGCAATCTGGCACTGATCGTCGAGATAAATAGAGATTACCAGCCTATCGCCAAATCACTAGTTTATCCGACCAGAGAGGAAAATGTCAAACGAACGGAGTGAGTGTATCAAGTGAATGCATATTCTCGCCGCATACGTTGAACCTATACCCAAAAACTTTGAGGATCATAACAAGCATTTCTACAACATGCAAGTCTATGACTGAGTGGGTATGTGGGATTTAATCACTGTAGATGGTATTGATTACGGAAACGTATCACATATACTTTTTTCGAAGAAAGCAGGGGACTATTAAAATGGGTTCGTCCGTCTGTCTGTCTGTCACACTTTTTGGGACACAGTAACTCTCTTTCTAATTGAGCTAGAATGTTCAAACTCGGTGTAGGTGTTTATTAGGTCAATGCCTTGATGAAGTTCGAAGATGAGCATTTTTTGCTTAGGGTTAGCAGAGATAAGCAATTTGATTGGTTGATGCTTTGGGACACGATAACTTTAGTTCTAATTAAGTGAGAGTGATGAAACTTGGTGTATAGTTTCATTACATCAATACCTCGACTAAGTTCGATAATGAGTATTTTCTGCTCAGGGTAAGCAGAGCGATAAGCAATTTAATTTGCCGATGCCTTGATGGAGTGCGAAGATGAGCATTTTTGGCTTAGGGTAAGCAGAGATAAGCAATTTGGTTGGTTGATGCTTTGGGACACAATAACTTTAGTTCTAATTAAGTGAGAGTAATGAAACTTGGTGTATAGTTTCATTACATCAATACCTTGACTAAGTTCAATAATGAGCATTTTCTGCTCAGGGTAAACAGAGTGATAAGCAATTTGATTGGTCGAGACTTTGGAACACAATAACTCTCATTCTAATTGAGTTAGAATGTTTACACTTGACGTAGGTGTCTATTAAGTGCAGAGGTCGCAGTCACGCAAAAATCTGCGTATTTCACACATTTTTTTCAAAATAAACGCAAATATTGACGGACGCTGCGTAATTTACACGCAGAAAATTTCCCCGACGTGAGAATAATTAGATTATTCTTTGTCGTAGTTTGTACAATTTATGTGCTTCACTCGGCATTTACACACCTCTACTGTACGTAGTCTCCGTAGTTTTTTATATTTCCTCTTATTTCATTCATAAGTTAAAAATTCCAAGTCAAAGAGACGATGAAACCCCCACACTCGAAAAAGTAGGAGGGCGGAAGATTCCCCTGTAACAATGTGGTCCGGTTTGGATCTCAGTGATGCATCTGAGGGAGAGCAGGAACCAGTCCGTGTAGAATAGATTAGTAAAGATAATCCCCCAGGAACAAACTAGATCAACACTGTGTGAATTTAAATCAGTATAATCTTCACCAAAACGCGTTTCGGGCTAATAGCCCTTCATCAGTTGGCAATTTGAACAATATTAAAAAATAATCCCATATTAGTGGTATATATACAAATTTTTGGCGCATGCGCCTTAAAATAAATTGGGATTAAATAATCAATAGGTTAGGATTATTATTTAAAAGATTGAAAAAATAATCCCTATACTGGGATTAAAAAATATTGAAAATTAAAAGATATAGAAATTTAATCCCTGTATATACTGGGATTTTAAAAGAATAAAAAAGTTTTTAAATCAAAATTAATGTACATAAATAATATAAACGCTGACCGAGACTATACGTATTTCGTCTCTTAGGAAACGGCCGCCATTGATGTTACCTGACAATAGTCACTTGATGATAATCAGCATTTATATTTATTCATTTATTATATAAATTTTGTTTGTACATCCATTTTATTAAACTTTTAAAAAATTATTTATGTACATTAATTTTGATTTTAAAAAATCAACTTTTTTATTCTTTTAAAATCCCAGTATATACAGGGATTAAATTTCTACATCTTTTAATTTTCAACATTTTTTAATCCCAGTATAGGGATTATTTTTTCAATCTTTTAAATAATAATCCTAACCTAAGGATTATTTAATCCCAATTTATTTTAAGGCGCATGCGCCAAAAATTTGTATATATACCACTAATCTGGGATTATTTTTTAATATCATTCATAAGTTCATGGCAGTAAGCCGACGTAGCTATCCTATTGGAAGCAATAAAGCGCATTTCATACAAGACTTGGGATTGGCTAGAACAAGATATACTGTTTACATTCAGCCAATCAAATGTTGGCTTTCATAGCCATAGTTTTCTCTTTACGTCCTGTCGAAGTGAAAGATTGAAATGACTGTGCCGTCAACCATAGACATGCCGTTAACCTCCAGTCGTCATTAGACTAAATACAGTAGGCATATCTATGAAATAAGGACGCTTAAAATAGGGTTGTTCACAAAACGACTTTACATGCTTCTATATTGTGTATTTTGAGAGGCTCTTCACGCAGATGTAGAGGGCAAAAACGCAAAATTTTGGAATGTCTGCGTATTTTTACGCAACTCGAAATTGATCCAATGCGACCTCTGGTTAGGTGAATGCCTTGATGAAGTTCGAAGATGAGAATTTTCTGCTTAGGGTAAGCAGAGATAAGCAGTTTGATTGGTTGATGCTTTGGGACATGATAACTTTAGTTCTAATTAAGTGAGAGTGAGGACACTTGGTGTATAGCTTTATTACATCAATACCTTGACTAAGTTCGATGATGAACATTTTTTGCTGAGGGTAATCAGAGTGATAAGCATTTTGATTGGTTGAGACTTTGGAACACAATAACTCTCCTTCTAATTGAGGTAGAATGTTCAAACTTGCTGTAGGTGTCTATTAGGTGAATGTTTAAACTTCATGTAGATGTTCATTAGGTGAATGTTTAAACTTGATGTAGATGTTCATTAGGTGAATGTCTTGACTGAGTTCAATGATTAACATTTCGAGCTGACAATAAGCAGAGCTAATCGATTTCATTTGTCGATGGTTTGGTACAAGATAATCTTGATTCTATCTGATAGAGATTGGTGAAACTGAGTGTATGGTTTGATTGCTCGATACTTTTGAAAAAAATAAATGTGCGATTAAGTAATATGTGTTATCTTTTTATTTTGGAATTTCCGCGGGGGACATCAGCCTCACTGTTGGCTTGTTTTCTAAAATTATTGGGGGGGGGGGGCAAACAGAGGGCAGACCAGATTTATGAGGGGACACTCAAGAGGTAACAATTTTGATCCGATTTTGATGAAACTTGAAATGCATGTTGATCTTGGTTCCTTTCGATATTCGCGCATATCAGATCGTTACTTCCTGAATTATGGCCCCTGGAAGATTGTACGAAAATTTGCGTTTATAGCTTGTGGTCCCTCTAGAGGTCACAATTTTTATCCGATTTAAAAGAAAAACGTGTGAATATATAGTTATACACTAATGATGGTTGAGTTCACATTTCGTGAAAATCAGACTAAAACTGACAGACATGATGGCTGCCCCTTGTACGCAAATAGTGTGAAAATATGGTGTATCAAGGTTGTGGACCCTCTAGAGGCAACATTTTTATCCGATCTTGGTTCCTTTTTATAATCACACATATCCGAATGTAACTTCCTGGATTATGGTCCCTGATTGGTCGAAAAATCACATATTTAGCTTGTGGATTCTCTAGAGGTCACAGTTTTTTTTTCCGATTTTAAAAAACGTTTAGATATATCACCATTCCACCATAATGAAGGTTGAATTCGAATTTCGGGAAAATCGAAATGAAACTGCCCGAAAAAATGGCTGCTCTTTGTCTGCAAATTGTGCATAAGTATGTAATACAAAGGTTATTGACCCTCTAGAGGTCACAATTTTTATCCAATTTTGATGAAACTTAAAACATATCTTTATATTCCAAAAAACTCAGTCCCTTTTGATTTTTGCGTATTTCAGACCATTACTTTCTGGATTTTGGCCCCTAATTGTACAAAAAATCGTTTTTGTTTTTAGCTTGTTCTCTGTCCATCTCTTGCAAAATATAGGCTTCCGATGGCCCTGCTTTGTATTCAGTATTGTTTGTTTTTCACTCTGTTTTTGTGGTAAATGGAACATGTCCTAACTGTATTCAATACCTCAATTCTATTGAATATTAAAAATGTTTCTCCCTTAAGTTACAACTTTTGGTTTTTTGGACTGCCTGGGTTTTTTTAAACATTTCACCGATACGGTTATGTTTACATTCACATTTCTTGTAACATATATAGCAGATCATGACTCATGCTGGCATTACACAATGGTTTCTCTGTGTTTATATTCCTGATTGTTTTTCAAATTTGAGCGAAGTCTGTATCACTACAGGCCTGGGACTGTACAGCACAGTGGGCGCTTACAGCTAGCCCTAGGATCCATTCACTTAATTTGATATGTTCGTTTGTTTGTGATTTCTGTGTATTGTGTCTTGTCTGTATATTTTTTTTTGTGTCAATTATGTGTGGTGCGCCCCCCTTGCACTTGCTATTAGATCAAACAAAAAAAATATGTATTAAAAGATACATGTAATCCCTTCCATTATGGAGTTATACCACATCTTGAAAGCTTTGTGAATGTGATAAAGGCAGCAGATTTTTATGCACCCACATTTCAGTTTGGAAGTATTATGTCGTTACCCTGTCTGTCAACAGTAATTGGCTTGTGAACGCGATAGAGGCTACAGCTTTTGATAGATTCTTTTAAAATTTGGTGTGAAGCATTGTGGTCATGAGAAGTTGATCTATCCATTCAATATTCTGTGACTTTTGTTCCAGAGTTATCCCCCTTTTGTGGGTGTATCTTGCATGTATATAATGGCCAATTTGTTTTTTATGACTGGGCTATACATGATAATACAACCTTTATTAATCTTCTATTTCAGCTGCCAATAGTTCAGAGAAAAACTTAAACAAGAAGTAGCCGAAATATTCTTGTTGGTTGCAATGCAATGTAATAAAAATGCTTAATAAGTACTGAAAGAAATGGATAAATATACAAAGGTAGAAAATAGTGACAGCCAAAAGAGTTATAAAATGATTCTTGTTATTGGAATTACATGTATATTTACCTTGAATTTTTCTTGCCAATATTTCCCATGTTTGTTTTTATGATTAATTTTGTATTAAATCATTTATTCTCATTTTTATACGCCCACATTTCAGTGTGATATACAATAATTAATTATTGTTTATCAACTTAACTGAATATCAAATGCATCATTTCGATCCCATCAAACCGTCTGTAATTGGTTTGTGTTACCAGTTTCTATTGATTGGAAGTTTCTCACATTGCATTGTGGGAGTATTGTGTCGTCATCCTGTCCGTAGGCCCGTTAACAGTTGGCTTGTGAATCTGATAGAGGCTGCAGCTTTTGACAGATTATTCAAACTTGGTGTAAATAATCATGATCATGAGAGGACAAGCCCTAATGATATTCAGTGTACCGTGACTTCTGGTTTCCCAGAGTTATTTCCCTCCCCTTGCTAAAAACCTTGTCAACACTATACAGGCTGTAGTTTTTATACGTCAACATGAAAATGTGGTTGTATATTGCCTTCTGCCCTGTCCGTTCGTCCTTCGTCTACAGACTACATTTATTATCCAGTCTTTTTGAAATTTATATTGGTGAGGTGGAGAAGCCTATTTGTTTTCAACAGTTTATGTTAATTACTTCTAGAGTTATGGCCCTTCCTTCACTTTGTTGACAAAAGTTATCCGCCGATCTGTGTTAAATTATTGAATTTTCATTAATTACTTCTGTAACAACGAAAGTTATTTGATCTGTATGAAATTGATATGAATCATTTAAATATATGCAACGAACAAGACTATTGAGTTTTAACAATTTCCTTCAATTACTGCTAGAGTTATAGCCCTTGATTTACTTTGTTGAACCCTGTGAACGCAAGATTGACAAAAGTTATCAGCAGATCTGTATGAGATTTATATACATGATTTGAATTAGTAAAATGAAAAAGCCCTTCGAATAGAACCTTGTAAACCCTCAAATAACGAAAATTATAATCTGATCTGTATGAAATTGTTTTGTAAATGCCCCTATTTGCTTACAAAAGAATAAATATGCGACCGATATTAATAATGAGTAATCCCCTGTTTGTTGATTTTTTTTTTCAAATTTTGTTGGAACCATTGGGGTCTTAAGAGGATGAACCCAAGTTATTACATTTATTTAAGGATCCTAGATCCTTATCAAATTTTCTCCACATCAAAGTTTTTCTTTCGGATAAGCTGCAATTGAGACACAGTTGCTGTGTGGGGCTTGGCTATCTTGCTAACATACGAAACCATGTATATATTTAGTTTTAAATGGAACTGTTGAGTGATAGTTATTGTAAATAGAAAAGGTTATCGTACAGAATTTTGTTCTGCGGACAAGTTAAGCTTTATTCATCCAGTGTAAATTCATTGAAAGGTGGTTGTATATTGTTGTCACCATCGTTCTTTTGGCTGTCATCCAATTGACTGTAGATTTATACACAGTTTCTAGGTAATGACACCAAGATGCCTATTGATAATTTTTACCCCATGGATACTCCAGAGGCTAAATCTGACTTGAAATTTATTCATAGTTTTTTTAAGTTCATGATATGAAGAAACGTAATGATTTTCATTGATTTTCCAATAATTACAGAAAAATCTTGTCAATGTTCTGAGGCTAATGTTATAATCAGATTGACTTCCAATTTATACACATTGCTCCAGTAGTTCTATTGATTTTTTAATAATATCTGATAAAATGATCAGCTAAATTTATCATCTGATTGCTGTTAGTACCAGGAAGATCTAATCAATTAGGTTTTGAGTATCTTGTAAATGTTTTAATTATCTACATACTTTGCAAACTTTATGGACAACTTAGTTGCTGTGGGCATGTAGTCTGTCTTATTTATTCCTGTAACGGCAACACCAAAAAATGTTTTAAAATATCGATTTGCATTCATATTTATTATGTGGTTTATGTTTGTTGAAAAATTGTACTTATTGAGTGCTACAAGTTCTGTCTCATCTAAAATATAAGAAAATAGAAATAACATGTTTGATTTGATGTACATGTGATTTTATATGTTTATATCCCAATTCCAATCTAGATAATTAGATATTTTTTACATGCCACATTGAAATGTGGTCACCCCCATCTGTCGATTACAAAGGCTAAAATTATCATCCAACTGACCTCAAATTTATATGCTCGTGGGTTTTCTCTGTTTCCTCTACACGCAAGCAAAATATTGAAATAAAATTGAACCATATGTTAGTCCTGAAATGACCTAGTTTATGTCGAGTGGACATTAAACTCGATCTCTGTCTCTCAAATTTATATGCAGTGTTTAAGGCCATCAGACAAAAAAAGCACACTGATTTTCGAGGATTTCAATTGATTACAGCCAAAGTCTCCATGTTCATGAGACAAAGAAACTTTATGAGGTGACAATGAAATTCTAATTATTTCTGATAATTCCTTCAGTTTTTAGTGTATCATGAATGCTCCCATTGCCCACTAGAGAATGAATATGTGACAACCGCAGCTCGAGTGTATGTATCATAGTCTGGCAACCTATTTTGATATTAATCAGCTAGTATTCTCTAGAATTTACATCTTAACTAACCTATTATTATCAAATTGTATATAATAATTAATGGAATGAAATCTTGTCAATTAAAATTTATGACTGTGCAGTGTTGGAAAAAAAAAATATGTACACCAAATGAATATATTGGTTTAGTACATTTCAATGCAGTATGTTTTACAGTTATGAATTTTTTGTGTTAAGACGTACATATCCGTCATCGGTACATGAAATATTTGTATTACATCCCATCCCCTCCTGAAAATTGTCTGACAACTTTGACATTATTAAGCAGAGGAATATAAATAAGGGGCAGATGTAATGATTGAATTATTTTTTGATTAACTGATAAAAAGCTAAATGTCATTTCTATGAATAGCCTATAGATTTGTATTTTTCAATTCTTGACTCCCTGTATGTAATAGATAATGTGATAAATTAGATTTCATTATAATTATATATATTGTTTGTGCATAATCCCGCCCCCACTTGTTCTAAACGCAATAAGCAATATTAATGTATCTCATAGATTACATTTTTATATAGATAACTGTAAATAATTCAATGTTGATTGATTTTGTACTTATTTAGATATTTATTCTTTGTGTGTAAGCTTGTTTGTTTTTTTGTAAAAAGCTGTTGTACAGTAAGCCAAGTGCATAATGTCATAACTAATAAATAAATAACCCTCCTCTTTATTTTTTTCTCATAATTTATATCCTCTAAATCCCTATTTTTGAAAGAGGTTGTTTTTATATGCCAGCCCTTCCTCGTTCCGATTGAGGAAATGTAAGTTTATAACCCAAAGATCTGGGTTCCTTTCGATATTTGCGCATATCGGATTGTAACTTCCTGAATTATGGCCCCTGATTGTACGAAACGCGTTTTTAGCCTGTGGACCCTATAGAGGTCATACTTTTTTATCCGGTTTAAAAAAAAACGTTTTAGTATATCACCGTTACACCGGAATGAAGGTTCAATTTGAATTTCGTAAAAATCGGCCCACAAAATAGCCGCCCCTCATACTCAAATAGCGTAAAAATATGATATATCAAGGTTGTGGACTCTTTATAGTAGAGGTCACAATTTTCTTCTGATTTTGATGAAACTTGAAATGGAAGTTTATAACCCAAAGATCTTGGTTCCTTTCGATATTCCCACATATCGGACCGTAACTTCCTGAATTATGGCCCCTGATTTTACGGAAAATCGCGTTTTTAGCTTGTGGACCCTATAGAGGTCATAATGTTTGTTGAGTCTGAATTTCGTGAAAATGGGGCAAAAACTGCTGGACAAAATGGCCGCCCCTTCGTACGTAAATAGTGTAAACATCTGGTAAATCAAGGTTGTGGACCCTCTAGAGGTCACAATTTTGATTTGATTTTGATGAAAATTGAAATACATGTTTATAACCCAAAGAACTTGTTTCCTTTCGATATTCGCGCGTATCGGATTGTATCTTCCTGAATAATATGGCCCTTGCATAGGCGTACGGGCTCGATGACAGTTAGGGGGGAAGAACGCGATATGCCCGAAAAAATTTCAGGTTTACAGAGAGCGCCGGTCTTCCTTGAGAGGCGAAGAGAGCGGAGCTTACCTTGCCCCCCCCCCCCCCTCAGGTGGCTGATTCGAATTCCAATCAATCGTTTACAGTCCACGAAGACAGGACCGTGTGGAGAACATTTAACTGCCACAAACGCGTTTTCCTGCTATTCCAGCCTGTGAATACAGCAACTTCAATTTGGTCCAATATAGTCGCTGGGTTCGGGGGGTATACCCTCCCGGAGAAAATTTTACCAACGCAAATGCGTTTTCTGCTATTATAGCACGTGTAAACTCCAAAGGTATCCAATGGTTTTGTAACCGAAATCCCACTCTGTATTCCAATCAGACTGTTGCAGCTGCATTCACAAATAATAATCGATGCCCGAAAAATGTCGCACAAAGTAGAGTGACTCCAGGCAACATTTTTTAATCCATAGTCAACTCTGTACAAATTTGTGGTGTTCAATTAAAAGAAAAGTAAAATTAGTGTTATATTAGGGCTCGATAACAGTAAGGGAAGCAAAACTAGAAATGCCCGAAAAAATTTTGGGTTTACAGACAGCGACACCAGTTTCCTTCGAGAGGCAAAGAAGCAGAACTGACCTTGTATGGACCCCACAAGAAAATTTTGGAATATTTGACAGCCGCAAACGCGTTTCCTGCTATTCCAGCCCGTATAAATTAGTGTTTTATTAGATTTCGGGCACTTAATTTTGCCAAGTAGATGAAATTTTTTTTTTTTTTCACTCTACCTGTCTGCCCGAAAAGTCAGCTTGCTCGAAAGTTAAGGGGGCAGCTGCCCCCCTGGCTCATACACCTATGGGCCCTTGAATGTACAAAAAATCGCGTATTAGCTTGTGGTCCCTCTAGAGGTCACAATTATTATTTGATTTAAAAAAAACGTACGAATATATCACCGTTACACTGTCATAACTTCCTGCATTATGGCTCCTGATTGTTCGAAAAATCACATTTTTAGCATGCAAATTCTCTAGAGGTCACAATTTTTTTTCCGATTTTAAAAACCATTTAAATATATCACCATTCCACCATAATGAAGGTTGAATTCAAATTTCGGGAAAATCAAAATGAAACTGCCCGACAAAATGGGAGCACTTTGTAAACAAAAATTGTGTAAAAGTATGCTACGAAGGTTGTGGACCCTCTAGAGGTCACTATTTTTATCTGATTTTGATGAAACTTAAATAATATCTTTATATCCCAAAGATCTCAGTCCCTTTTGATATTTGGGCATTTCAGACCATAACTTTCTGAATTATTGCGATTGTCCAAAACTTCCTGTTTGTTTTTAGCTTGTTCTCTATCCATCTCTTGCAAAATGTTGGCGTATCCTGTCTGGCAGCCGCTGGTTATCCGATTTAAAAAAACGTTTTAGTAGATCACCGTTACACCCTAAGGATGGTTGAGTTCGAATTTCGTGAAAATCGGCCCAAAGCTGACAGACAAAATGGTCGCCCCTAAAAATATAGTGTAAAAATATTGTATATCAAGGTTACGAACCCTCTAGAGGCCGCAATTTTGACCCAAAGATCTTGGTTCCTGTAGATATTGACGCGTATCGGATCCTAACTTCCTGGTTTATGGCCCCTGATTGTACGAAAAATCGCTTCTTTTTTTTTTTGAGCTTGCTCTAGCACGTATGGAAGAGGCAATAAACTGCAGTTGCAAGAAATTGATTTTTGGGAAAAAAACGTTTTATGGGGCTAAAAATGCGTTTTTGAAAAAAAAAATATTCCTGCAACCGCAGTTTATCGCCTCTTCAATACGTGCTAGGTATTAGTAATCTACACATCCTGGCAGAATTTTTAAATTTTTGGACCACGGGAACAGTGCCGGCTAATCTATCCTAGTTGGAGGGCGTGGCATTTTGGGCGTGTCTATTAGGGGTAACCCACCGCACAAACTGTCTGGCAGTGGTCATTCATGATTCCTCTCGTGGTGCTGAACAACTCCAAAGCTGTTTTAGGTGGTACAGATTTCAGCTAATCTAGCCTACCTTTGGTTTTTGTAATACCTGAAGATGTACGGTACCTTGCTGTGCGATTTTCATGTGGTACACTTTTGAGCTAATATAGACTAGTTGGGGGGCATGGCATTCTGGGCGTGGAATACCACACCCACCACCAGAAACCCGGCAGACTTACATTCTGATGATACCAGATATACATACATTGATACCATATAGGAGAAAATTGGTACACTTTTCAGCTAAAATAACCCCCTGGGCTCCCGCTCTAAGAGTGCGACTTGTTTGAAATTTGAAGAGGACGTTGTAGAAAACCCAATGAATATCCGTGCGAACTTGAGACATGCACATGCACGATGATAAAGCCCAACTGAAATCTGTACAATTTCGATATTACCAGAAACATGAAGGATGCCAGTGAAATATTAATAACTGGTGAGATTCACCAGCACAGACCATATAGTATCATTCATTCTGCACTTATAATTCGAATGCCATTAATTACATCCCACTTCTACTCGTTGCCACTGGCAACCTTTGATATAACTGTCCCGTTTAATTGCAATACATGCTTAAAAGTATCCGTGTATCAGAAATGTACAGAAAGAGTACTGATCATTTCTGATACACGGATACTTTTATCCCGTTTTAGATATCTATCAACCCAGATCGGAATTAATAACGAGGCTCTATCCAATGTACATGAAACAATTAGTCAAAATCATAGTAACAAAACAAAATGGGGGGAACTACATTGGCAGTTCAAAAACATATACAATGACATTAAATTAACATAACAACATATTACAAAAATCAATTATTATACATACCAATTGGCATCTATTTCATAATTTGGTTTGATTTATATTAATATGCAAAATATAATATAAATTAGAATATTGAATAATTATTTTAATTAATTGTGTTGATAGAAGGCGCAGTTCTCTTGCTGGACACTTCACAGGCATTGAAAATAAGCAGGATGAAAAAAAACGCCTAGAAAGTCATAAACTTTATTACAAGTAAATTTCAACGGAAGAACCATCCGCCGATGCATACTTTCACCAGGAATGACCCACGTTTCGCATTTTCCTTTACACTACATTTAATAATATCGCAGTCCTCTACGCCATAGACATTGTTTTGACGATGTGGTCTAAACAAACACGTGATTGTTTTACGCTCAGAGTATCATAGCAAGACGCACGTGTAAATACTACTCAGGTCGTCTCTCCACTGCGAAATCATTCTACCGTGAAATGTAACGTGAGGCTCAGAAAGGGATAAATAATGAAAGAACAGAAAGTATTTGTCACTTTTCGGTTGAAACGACTCGATAATAAATACTATTTTTCACATTTTGCTTCACAATACTCGATAGAAATGTGATGTAAGTAACTTATTAGCACCTTTCCTCGGTGTATCGGTGAATATCAGGACAGTTTTGGTCGGGAGCCGCCTCGGCTGGGCCCCTCGACCAAAACTGTCCTGATATTCACCGATACACCTCGGAAAGTGTGCTAATAACTACTACCTAACCCCTCTTGTTCGATATGAACAAACTACTTAACTTTGGTTATTATAAACTTACCTGTGTTTGAAATTACCTCCGGTTAAAAAAAAATCCATTGTACAGCTAAATATCCTTGTAAAATTGAACTCCTCACAAACTTGGACATCGAGAAATACAAACATGGAAGCTATTGCGTCACTTATCCGGATAGATCATTTCGTATAATTGGGCCGCAGCAAGGCTGATCTATCGTAACGGTGTTTGGCTCTTTTACGACATTTCAAATTTTATGTATGAATAAGCTTTTGCTCTCGGACCTAGTAATGAGTTTCGGCGTTTACAAACATAAATACGCCAGTAGTCCGTTATTTTGTTTCCGTCTTATATTAATTATTTGGTGAGAGAGTTGGGTGGGCATATTTCTTTTAAAAACCGGTGCAGAACAAAAACAACGATGTTCGTTTTACGGGCCTTGAATGTCACCCTTGAATATCTTGAATATTTCCTGATGAACTTAAGCAGCCTTGTCAATTAACCTCGTAATCTGCTGTAGCCGAGGCAAATCCGTAAAAAAAATGCCGAAATTCACAGGGCAATGTATCCATACGATTGTACTCTCAGTTATTAACTATATATTAATCACAAGTACAA